ACCCTCGCGGGGAGAGGAGAGCTCCCTCGCTCCTCGGGGACCGAGCTGGGGGGGGGGGGGAACCGGGGGGGGGGGGGGGGGCGGTTTGCAGAAGGACCCGGACAGAAGCCAGGGCTGTTTCTGGCACACTAGAGTCAGGAGAAATCCGGCTGAGGCAGCCCTGGAAACCAGGAAGGAGAGAGCAAGGTATGTGCAAGTCCGTGATGTGTCCGGCTCCGCGAGCATCGCCCAGCCTCCCAGAGCCCTGGGAGAGAGACTGAGGAAGTCACCTCCTGTGGTTTGGGTGGTTTGCAAAGTATGACATACAGGAAGTAGAATTTTAACTCCTGTTTATACTGAAGTTCAGAGGGTAAACAAAACTACTATTCTTTGAAACTGGTGTCGGTGGCCAAGGGATTCCTGTCAGTTCAACAAAAACTGGACTTTTATTTTTCTGCCCCAGGGCTTTGAATACCACACCCATTAGGTTATTAACAGGATTTCCAGTGCAACATTCCAGCGCTTAGTACAGTGCCCGGCACATAGTAGGTGCTTCATAAATGCTTCTTGACTTAGGCCGTTGGGGAGAAGTCACAGGAATCTGAGCAACCTGTGCTCCAATCCTGGCTCTTCTCACAGGCTTGCTAGGTGACCTTGGGCAAGTCCCTAACCTCTCTGGGCTCCACTTACCTTCAAGTGTACAATGAGAAGGTTGGATGAAATGATCTCTCTAGTAACTTCCTGCTGTAAAAATTCATCATCCCATTTTGAAAGTGCATTAAGTAACCCAACAAGAATGTAGCATTTTTCCTGAAGCTTGTACTTTCTTTTTTCAGGATGTTTTACAATTTTATTAATATCTGCTTTGTGGTTGTCATGGTTATTTTCCCCAAACCCCATTCGGGCATGGTTGTGTGTAAGGAATCTACGTTTTACCTTTTCAAGGAGAGAGGGAGGATGGGGGGTGGTGTGGCAAGCCGGTGTTTAAATGGAACACTCTCAGATCAGGAGTCCTGTGGGGGCAAGCGTGTCTTCATCCCTTGTGCTATGTGGTGCCCATGTGAGTTGAGGTAAAGTACTTAGCCTCTCAGGGCCTCAGTTTCCTTAACTGTAAAGTAAGCCAGTTAGACTCAATGGCCTGTATTATCTCCCAGTTTTAAATCTATGACCCTATGGCCTATATTAAAAACCCAGGTCTGCTACTTACGATGTGTGACCTTGGCTGAGTCATTATCTTTCTGGGCCTGAGTTTTCTCACCTGTAAAATGAAGAGATTGGACTATACTATGCCTAAGGTCCCTCACAGCTCTAAATCTATGATCTCATTGCAAAGAGGGGCTTAGTGATTTGCCCAAGGTCACCTAGCTAGTCTAAGTCAGAGGTAGGACTTGAACCCAGCTTTCTAACATGCTGCTCTGCTTCTCTCATTTAGCCCTGGGAGGGACCTCTGGATTCCGCTACTCTGTTTATTCTCTTCATATAATTTGCCTTCTTTTCATTAGACCAATTTTAACAGACACATTTTGAGAGCCATTTACTGAAGGCCCACCCTCCAGACAAATAGGACGATAGGACAGCTGGTTCTGCTTTGCCCCTAGGTAGCCTCCCTGTGTCCCGTTACTTCCTAGAAAGAAGTCGCCTCTACCTCTACCTGGGATGTGGCATCAGAGCTGTAGTCAGACCTCAGAGATCAGCTTGCCCAACCTCCTCCCCCCATTTTACAAATGAGGAAACTAGCCCAGAAAGAATAGGAGACTTCCTCAAGATGCCACATGTGGTAAGTAGCATGGAAGAGATTCAGACTCAGTGACGAATCCTGCGCATTCTCTGCCTCTCTCGTGGGAACATTCGCTGCCTTGCCTCAGTGGCCCTCTCCATGAAGATTTCCTGAACGTTTCCAGACAGAAGGACCCTTTGCTTCCACTGAGCTTGTCAAAGCCTTGGTTTGATCACTTCCTAGGAGATTTGTCATTGAGTCCAACCATCTCGTTTTACAGATGTGGAAACTGAGGCCCAGAGAGACGTCACTTGTTCAAGCTTGGTTATACAGGTAGTAAGAGCTGGAATTTGAACCCAGGTCCTCTGATTTCACAGTATTTCTTTTCCCTGTACTAGGCTGCCTCCCATATCTGTTGATTTACTAATAAAAGCTATTATTTAGATAGGACTTTGAGGTTTTTAAAGCATTTTGCATTCATCATCTCACTTGGTCCTCTCAACTACCCTGGAGGGGTAGGTGCTCTTATCCCTCCCCCCTCCCTTTAAGAGATGAAGAAACTGAGGCTCAGGGTTACATATTGAGTGTCTGAAGCTAAGGAGAACTCAAGCCTTCCTGACTCAAAGCATGGAACCCCATCCGCTATTCCATACTGAAGTGAAATTGACTGCTAGATTATAAGCCCTCTGAGGGCCACGACCATGTCTTCTCTAAACTGAATGTCTTCTTATCATCTAGCATGATACTCTGCGGTGCTTTGCAAGTGTTTGTTGAATGAATGAACACACCCATACATTTTTTAATTTGAAATCAAATGCTTATAGAAATATCACAAGACATCGATTTAGAACTGGAAGACACATTCAAGGTCATGTAGGCTCCCAGAAATTTACATTAAAACAACTCTGAGATTTGACTTCCTGCTCTGCATGTTGGCCAAGATTCTCCAAGATGGCAAGAGCCAATGGCCCTCATTTATCCTGTCTCTCTCTTGTTTGTGCATAGATGTTGGCATGCTGTCTCCCTCATTCGATTGTGAGCTCTTGGAGAGCAGGAACTGGCTTTTACCTTTCTCTGTAACCCCAGCTTAGCGCACAGTAGGCACTCAATAAATGCATATTGACAGATGGACTATTGGAGGGGCTGTGGGGGGAAAGGGACATTAATATTCCACACTGGGGGAGGAGAGGGGACTATGAATTGGGCCAATTCTTCTGGATAATGATTGGAATTTTATCAGAAAATGGCTAAATTGTCTACATGCTTTGACCAGATGCAAAGATAGAAACAAAAAATTATGGTACATGCCAGTACATAGAGTTTGTAGTAACAAAAAACTGAAAACAATAATAAGAGCTAACATTTATGTAGAGCTTACTATGGGCCAAGCACTTTACAAGTATTATCTCATTTGATCTTTACAACAATTCTGAGAGGTAGGCGCTGTTGTTATGGCCATTTTATAGAAAAGGGGCAAATAGAAGTTAAGTGACTTGCCCAGGGTCACACTGCTAGTAATTGTCTGAGGTCAAATTTGAATTCAGGTTTTCTTGACTCCAGACCTATACCTAGCTGCTCACTGTTTGGAAATGACTGAATAAACTGGTATACAGAGGTCATCAATCAATAAGCATTTCTTAAGTGCCTACTATTTGCTGGGTCCTGTGTTTAGATGCCAGACTAGACTAATGTTATTGTGTATTGAAATGGAACCTATGAGGAATTCAGGGGGGAAGGAGGGAAAGGGAAGATTTGTATATACTAGGACAGAGTGAAATAAGTTGAACCAAAGAAACATTATAAAGAATGAATTAAATGATATAAGTGATTGCCAAGAGTCAGATTGGTAAGATTGCTAAAAAGAATACCAGGTGCCAAGAAAATTCAGAAACAAAGTAATGGTTTGAAGAGGCAGAGAGGTGGGGGCCTACTAGGGCAGAATGTCACATACATAACCAGCTGGCATGGTTATATCCTGTGTTTTTGTTTACCCGTTTGATTTGGTGTTTGTACCTATATATGTATATGTTGCTCCTGTAGAGGAGGGCAGGGAGTGTTATCATTTTGTCTTTGTACCCTTCCACTCTAGCATAATGATTGGCACATAGTAAGTATTTAATAAATGCTTGTTGCCTAATTGATTAAATGAAGAATTCAATGTCCACAAGGCCTGGGGAGTTTTGCCAGAACTGAACGTGATGAAGAAGCATCAGTAAACTTATTTTTATAGAAAGGGGGGGAGGCTGTAAATATTAACAGTTGCAAGGGTTGTGGGTTTGTTTGTTTGTTTTGGTTTTTTTAATTGCACACTAAAGAATTTTTTCCTGAATAAAAGACTCCTTGTTCTGTTGAAGCCTATTGAGAAACGTGCTCAGGAGATGCCCTTTTAAAGACAGCTGTGCAAAAAGCCCAGGAGTTAGGCAGTCAGTCAGTCAGCCCTGGGTCCTTTCCAGATCCCTGGCTGAGAATCCAGCTCGTGATTTCCCTGAGCTCTCGGTCCCCAGCAGATGGGGAGACTGAAGTTTTCTCTTTGTTCAGGGGGATGAGAGCCCCAGGACTCCCCAAGCTCAGAAACTTACTTCTTGCCAACTGCAGGCACTCCCGCTTCCCACCCTCCCACCTATTTAAGTCTGAGTGAAGGGTCCTCATTCTAAGGAAAGGGGTGAGGTGGATACCCGAGACCATGCCCTCCTTCCCAGAATGGGTCAGAGTTTGGGGATGTCACTTTCTAGGCAGTGAGGGAGCGAGTAAGCCGTGAGCCTCCTGACTTCTTCGCCCAACCTCTTTTCCCCTTTGGAGAAAGAGCGCGTGGCTGCTCACTTCTCTGTCAGCCCCCGGTCCTCTCCGAAGTGACATCACACCGCCCGGGGCTGCTGACTCAGGAAGGCACTGAGAGAGGTGGGGGGGGAGGGGGCGGAGAGGCAGAGACTGCGCCTCTCCAGAACTCCCTTGGCCTCAGCAGCAACAGCAGCAACCTTATGCAGATGAGGCTGGCAGTGCCCGCCTCCTTCCTGCCCTCCTGCTCCTCCTTCTCCTCCCCCAGGGGTGCCTAGCCTGCGAGCTCAGTGACATCTCTCGCCTCCTGGCCAAGCCAAGGGGGCGGGCACCGCGACGGTATTGGCTGAAGAGCATCCCAGGCGCGGCCCTCTGGGGCTTTAGTCCTCCCCCAGGCCGGAGAGCGCCAGAGAGGTGCCTGGCCTCATGATGAAGGAGCGCTGTGGTCCCTCCAACAGCCCAAGCCTCAGCTCCGTGGCCATGGACAGTCTGCAGCCGCCTAACTACATGTCCGTGTGCTTGTTTGCAGACGAGTCCTACCAAAAGTTAGCCATGGAGACTCTGGAGGAGCTGGACTGGTGTTTGGACCAGCTGGAGACCATCCAGACGTACCGCTCGGTCAGCGAGATGGCCTCCAACAAGGTAAGAGCGCGCCCCTTCGCAGCCTCTTGGAGGGGCCTTTTGCGAACACGAAGAGGTGAGAGCGCCGGCCGCCTCGGTGCGCCCCGGTGCGCCCCGGTGCGCCCTGGTGCGCCTTGGTGCGGAGCGTTCCGACCCGCGTTCGGTCAGTCTCCTGAATCCGGGGCAAAGGGACGCGCTGGAGATCTGAGGCGCAGTCCCATCTCTGAAAGGACCCTTAGCTTCTGCACAGTGAGCAGAGCAGGGCTGATTTTAAGGAAGAAGCTTTCGGGGAGACGAAACACTTTTTTAAAAATCTCCTGTTTTATTTAACTGTTTGACACTCTTAAGAGAAACGCAGGGCAGGCTGTCTGAGGAGGGCGAGAATGTTTGACAGCAATGCGCTGGCACAGCTATGCCTGCCTTCTCTCGGGTGACTTTGGTAGAGACCCTTCCTGCCCCCAACCACCCCCGCCTCAGTTTCCTCTTCTATAAAAGGAGAGAGTTGGACTGAATGATCGGTAAGGTTCCTGCCACTTCCCAGGTGAAAAATCCTCAGATTTGAGCGTCTAGCTTCAGAGGCTCCCCAGCTTGGTGAGTAGGCAGTTAGTAAGTTATTTAAGTGTTTGCCGAACTTAATTTAAGTCGTTAGAAGGGGAGGTGTGTGAGTTGGGGGAAGGAAGACTTGCCACTTCTCTGTAGAGAGTTTTCCAAAATTTGTGGTTAAAAAAAAATGCTGTAACTGCCGAAAATAAAGGAAAAACGTTTCCCCCTCTAAAAGCGGGTAATTTCACAGAATGCCCTAGTCACAATGGTGGGAGAATCTGAAATTAAATTCTCCCGTCAACAAAGGACTTTCGTGTCATAAATCCCCCAACAAAACTTCTCCCTGGTAGGGCTTTAATTAGGGGGTCATTATATCATTTGTTTAATTAACACCCAGACTTGCCGTGCTAATTTATGTAGCCAGGGTTGCAAATATTGTTTGCTTGTTTTTTTCCCGTGGGGAAGGCTAACTTCCATACTGGGGGTGGGGTTGAGGTCCCCCTTGCTCCCCAGGATGCAGTCATTCACTGTCCAGGCCCACCTGGCCGGGAACTTTTATCTGACATCTCCTGGGGGCACTAGATGGCTCCTAGTCCGCACCTGCCAAAGATACTCCCTGCTTGCCCAGGCATCTTATTTCTACGTGTGAGGCACTCTCCTCTAGGATACCTTCAGGGAGATTCTAGTCCCTGCATTCAGAGGCTGAGCCTAGGCGCAGATACCACCCAAGTGGCCAGTACTTTGTAGGGGGTCTGCCAAAAGGAGGGGAGGGAGCTGTGAGTGTCCTCTGGCTGCTTGTTTGTTTACACAATGAAATGAGCTGTCTAGATAGGTGGTGAGTTTCCCGTGCCTGGAGGTATTCAAGTGGGAGTAGTTCAGTGGCTTGTGGGGATGTTGTGGTAGGAGAGCTTCTAAGAACTGGTGAGGGAGATGAGTTTGTATTAGTTCCTGTAAATGAATTCTGACACTAACTTTTTTTTAAGAAGGAAGGAAGAGCAGAATTTAAGCTTACGACACCATAGAATAGTTTATGTTTGAGTTGCACTGCGAGCACATTTGACTTCTGTCACAATCCCCCCCATGTTATCCCCCATTTTGCAGACTAGAAAACTGAGGCTGAGAGGTTCAAATGACCTTCCCAAGGTGGTGCAGTGAGGAACTAGCAGAGTTTGGATCTGAACCCAGGTCCTAACCGTACTTTCCACTTCTGCCCTTCTGTTTGTGTTGTCAGGGCTCTCTCTGATCTGAAGGAGAGAGACTCCTGCCTTTTGTAAATATAGTCCGGAGGGGTCCTAGAAGCATTCCCACATACACTCAGCATCCCCTGTAAAGACCCCTCGCACCCATGTGGTCTCAGTGCTGAGAGATGGAGCTTCATTGGGTCACGTCCTGGTGGATGTGGGCTCAAAGCCAGAAGGAGCACGCCTGTCCCTTGTGTGTATATGTGTGTGTGTTTGTGTGTTCTGAGGGGGGAGTGGATGGAGACATTGCATTTACTCTACCTCAGGGCCTTGGCTTCCCTATTTGTGCAGCGAGCACATTGGACCTACTAGCATTTTGCAGACTACTGTTAGAACTTAAAGGACCATGGCAATCAACTAGAGCCACCCCCTCACTTGACTCTGAGGCAGCAGGACCTCAGAGAGGGGCAGTGACTTTCCTAGACTCACCCAACTTGAGCCTCAAACCCACGGGAATTCTTTGGGTCTTGCTGCCTTGCGTCCAGATATTCTTTTAGGGTCCTCTCTTACTGTAAACCCTGCAGGGACATCAAGGCACTGGCTTTGTTTTGGGGGTGCAGCAGTTTGCAATTTTCCTGCAGGTATTCATAAATGTAGATAAGAAAGAAAGAGAGAGAGAGAGAGAGAGAGAGAGAGGAAGGAAGGAAGGAAGGAACAAAGGAAAGAAGGAAGGAAGGAAGGAAGGAAGGAAGGAAGGAAGGAAGGAAGGAAGGAAGGAA